GGTCATGTGCTCTTGCGGGCCGTGCCGCAGAGGCCTAAGCGGAGCGCCTGGAGTTGAAGACCTGAGACATGCCCCAAAAGCTTCAGCTGTAGCAAAAGCAACGCGGCGAACACGCGACTTCTCCAAAAAAGGACCAGAAGCAACCGGCACCCTTGCTTCGGAACGCTCTTTGGCCCTCAGCTTCCTTGAGCCCTGCTTTTCACCTTGTCACTTGGAGCTCGAGGCCCTCTCGGCGAAGTCCCTCCGATGCCCTCCCCCGCGTCTCAGGCATCGCTTTCTTCGAGGAAAAAGCCTACATCGTTGACGAGGACAACGACCGGATCCTGAAGGTGAGTCCCGGCAACTCCGAGGCCGAGGTCTTCTTCGGCGGCAAAGGCAAGGGCAACGACCTGAACCAGCTGAACAGTCCGAGTGGCCGCCTGGCAGCATTGGGTTGTCTTTCAGGGGTTTTTTGCCTTGTAGAAGCTTACACCCTGGGCTTCAGAGGAGGCTCTGGCAGCNNACTTACTAGTAGCAAAGCAAGTGCTGCCCAGACCAGATGATCCCATGGCAGATTCTCATGGGACCGATGTCCAAAGAGGTTCTCTGTCGTTCTGCGGTTGTCGAGTGTCCGTCTTGCACCTGTTGGCGGGATGAGCTTGGAGGGGTGGCTGCTTCGTCAAACAAGTTGGTAGGCCGTGCCTCACGGGCGTAAGCGGAGCGCCTGGAGTTGAAGACCTGAGACATGCCCCGAAAGCCTCAGCTGTAGAAAAAAAACTGCACGGAACACCCGACTTCCAAATAGGTCTAGAGGCAACCGGCACCGTTGCTTCGGAACGCTCTTTGGCCCTCAGCTTCCTTGAGCCCTGCTTTTTACCTTGTCACTTGGAGCTCAAGACCCTCTCCGCGAAGTCCCTCCGATGCCCTCCCCCGGCCAGACCTCAGGCATCGCCTTCTTCGAGGAAACTCCCTACATCGTGGACTCGGGCAACGACCGGATCCTGAAGGTGAGTCCCGGCAACTCCGAGGGCGAGATCTTCTTCGGCGGCCAAGGCTGGTGGGGCTTCGACCTGGACCAGCTGCACGGGCCGAGTGGCCGCCTGGCAGCATTGGGTTGTCTTTCAGGGGTTTTTGCACCCGAAAGCCTTGT